CAGTTGCCTCTGGGGATGAGCACAGGGAGAAGGTTGATCTGGTCACCTACTTTGGGAAGAGACCCCCAGGCGTGCTGCACTGCACAACCAAGTTCTGTGACTACGGGAAGGCTACCGGGGCCGAGGAGTATGCCCAGCAGGATGTGAGTGCTCCTAAGGGACACGGGTGGAAGTGGGGAGGGGGCAGGGCTCTGGAGGTGGGACTGGCTTAAGGCAGGAAAACAAGATGGCAGCTCAAGAAAAATGAAATCTGCTCCAGCTCACTCCTCTGCACGGCTTATTGCATAGACCTCAGGCGCCCTTTCTGGGTCCTGCCTGGCAGTGCCGCCAGCGTGCGCATTTGTCCTAGGTCTGCCCACCAGTGCTGGTTCACCTGTAGGTTAATGGTTGGGAGCAAACCTGCTCTGGCCTCTGGAAGCCTCCATTCAGTCTCAAAGACTAGGAGTCCCTTGTCCTGAGGGAGGCTGGTGCCCTGAGGTTTCTGTCCTCAGGTCTGAAGCCTCGCCTTGCCCCCAAGTAACAAGTGTCCTGGAATAATAATGTTTATTGGCTTGGGGGTACCCATTCCTTCCTCACCTCACAACTGGTATCCTTGCCCACAACGACATGGTGATCTGTTGCTGGGATATACATGGCTGTCTCTAGCCTCCTGCAGGTCACCTCAGCAAGGCCTTCCCTGACCCTTCACCATCTCCCCCCACTTCTCTGCCTAAGTTAATGTAGCCAGTTTACTTGTGTGGTCATTGGTCTCTTCCCACTGAAATAGAAGCTCCCTGAGGGCAAACATTTTTTATTTGGGCTCACCTCTCTTCCCAGCACCTAGCCTAACTTCAAGAATAAGTATATATTGCCCTGGCTGGTTTGGCTCAGTGGATAGAGCACTGGCCTGCTGACTGAAGGGTCCCTGGTTCGATTCCAGTCCAGGGCACATGCCCAGGTTGCGGGCTCAATCTCCAATAGGAGCCTGCAGGAGGCAGCTGATCAGTGATTCTCTCTCATCATTGATGTTTCTTTCTCTCCCTCTCCCTTCTCTGAAATCAATAAAAATGTATTTAAAAAAGTGTATAACACTTTTACTACCATCTTTAACCATTCATTCATTTAGCAATATGTGTTAGCGTCTTTTATGTGCTAGACACCACTGGGACAAAGGACTGGGAGCAGAAATATAGAGAAGCTTTTATGGTCAGATGGGCTTTCTCTGAGAAACAGATATAACCAGATGTGCAATCAGATGTAAAGCAAGGTTTTGCTCCAGGCATTTATTTCTCACCTCATCCTGCCCTCCAGGTTATCAGCGTAGCTATGACCAGGGGAAGCCCAGTACTCATGACAGTAGCGCTTATGTGCCTGACATTGTTCTTTTTTTAAATATATTTTTATTGATTTCAGAGAGGAAGGGAGAGGGAGAGATAGAAACATCAATGGTGAGAGAATCATTGGTTCGCTGCCTCCTGCACGCCCCACATTGGGAATAGAGCCCGCAACTTGGGCATGTGCCCTGACCGGGATTCAAACCACAACTTCCTGGTTCACAGGTCAATGCTCAACCACTGAGCCACACTGACCAGGCCCGACACTGTTCTAAGCTCTTCACCCAGTCACTCCTTTAACCCTCACATGGAGATGGGTTCTAGTTTCATTCCATTTTACAGATGAAGAAGCCAATGGAGAGAGGTTCAACAGCTTGCTCAAAGCCCTGCAGCTAGTAAGGGGGGAGGGGGAGACTAAATTCTAAACACAGGAAGTCTGGCTTTTAACTCCTGGCTCTCTGGCACATTGGTTTTTTGTTTTTAAATATATTTTTATTGATTTCAGAGAGGAAGGGAGAGGGAGAGAGAGAGAGAAACATCAATGATGATAATCATTGATTGGCTGCCTCCTGCACAACCTCTACTGGGGATCAAGCTGGCAACCCGGGCATGTGCCCTTGACTGGAATCGAACCTGGGACCTTTCAGTCCTCAGGCGACGCTCTATCCACTGAGCCAAACCGGGGCTACAGCGACCTTGTTTTTTCACATTAGCCTCAACAGTCAGTGGAAAAACACTCCGACACCACACAGGCTGTTAGTGATAGTTATGGATGATATGCCTTTTACCAAAGGCTCTGCTTACGTGCTCACCTGCCAGACCCACGCTTCACAGCTGTCCTCTCTGGAGGCCACCGCCTCTAGCTTGGTCCTCATTCTCATTCTCTGCAGGTGGTGAAGAAGTCTTACTCCAAGGCCTTCACACTGACCATCTCTGCCCTCTTTGTGACGCCCAAGACAACGGGAGCCCGGGTGGAGCTGAGTGAGCAGGAGCTGCCACTGTGGCCAAATGATGTGGACAAGCTGTCTCCCTCTGACAGCCTGCCCCGGGGGAGCCGTGCTCACATCACCCTCGGCTGTGCGGATGACGTGGAGGCCGTGCAGACTGGCATTGACCTCCTGGAGATTATACGGCAGGAGAAGGGGGGCAGCCGAGGAGAGGAGGTGGGTGAGACACCCCGGGGCAAGCTCTTCTCCTTGGGCAATGGGCGCTGGATGCTGAACCTGACTAAGAATATGAAGGTCAGGGCCATCTTCACGGGCTACTATGGGAAGGGCAAACCTGTGCCCACACAGGGCGGTCGCAAGGGGGGTGCCTTTCAGTCCTGCACCATCAACTGAGTGTTCTCACCGCCCCTTGGTTGCCCCTCTTTAGAAGGGAAGGGGGTGCAGAAGGAAGCATGCCCTCTGCTTGATCTTTTAAGATTTTTTTTTATTCAGTTAACCTTATAACCTTTTCAAAACTTGTAAGATAACTGCCCCTCTTTTTCTGCCTACCCTCTTCCTGTCTAATTCAAGCTCTCTACACAAAGGGGTGGGGGCAGGTACCATTCAGGAATGTGGATCAGAGCTGATAAGGCTGGGCCGAGCTGGGCCTGGAGCTGCAGCCACAACCATGAGCCCTGTCCAGAGCTGGCTAGTGGGAGAGACCTCAGGGCTCCATGTCCCTTCAGCCACGGGACACTGGTGGTGGGAGTGAGAGGGGAGGATCCCTGGGCTTTGATCCTATTTCTTAATCAGTGTAGCCTCAGGAAGACTGAGGCTGCTTATCAGGGTAGAAAAGGGGTTAACCTTTTAAGTGCCTGTCCCTTCTTCACACTGTAACTAGGTAACAGTTTGATAGCTAGGAAAGAAAACAGATCAGTAAGCAGCAGCCACACCCCAGGTTGGCTGCTGGCCTCACCCCAGGAAGGGGATGGGGGGCCATCCTTCCTAGTGGTGTGGCCCTGCTATGTGATGGGAGACAGCGGCCAGAGACAGTGCGTGGTGGGAAGCTCCAGTCTTGCAGTCTGCCCAGCCCATCTTGCCTCCTTGGTGCCTCGGGAGGCCTCTATGCCTCCTCTAAAGGGGGCTGGTGGGAACTAAGAGCCAGTGAACTGGGCTCCTGGCTGTTAAGGGCTAAGCCCCACCCAGTGCTTTTGCGAAGGGGTTAACACTGCTACGTGGACTGTGGTTCCTGGGGTGCCCTCCGCTACCCTCTGCTCAGTAACAGAGCCTTGCTAATTAGGTTGTCACTTGGCAAAAAGTGCTTGGGATTTGAGTTACCAACCTGGCTTTGCCCAACCTCAGTAACTTGTAATACTGATAATGAAATAAATCGTGTTAATCCTAGCTGTGTGAGTCTCTCTCACCCTTCTGTGCCCAGCTTCTCTTCCCTGGGACGAGGGCTGGGTGTGTCTTTGTTCCACAGCTTGGGGCCATCGGTCCTGTCTCCCCACTGCTGGCTGGCCACAGCTGTGACAGGGCTGGGCAGCTGAACAGTGTTGGCTTTCATGAGGAGACAGAAAGAAGAGAGGCTGGTCTTAGACACACACAGAAAGTGGGGGTTGGCTGGGTATGAGGGAAGCAGAGAACAGAGTCTCGTCCCCTATTAACTACTAAAACAGGCCCACAGGTGTGCCCGACCCAGTCAGAAAGACTTCTCAGAAACAAAACCAAAAACCCCAAACAAACAAAAAAACACATGAAAGACTTCTCAGAGAGGCAAGACCCCAAACTCCTAGTATGGATTTCCCCAGGCCAGTGGTGCTTCAATCACAAGGGAGGGCCTGACTTTCAATCTCTTCCAACAATGGTCTGGACAGCTACACAGGGGAGTTCCTAGGCCTAAATCAGTCATCTCTTCACCATGGCCTTGGCACCAAAGGGGGGGAGCACTGGAAAAGAATAAGGCAGGGGCTCGGAAAAGAAATCATGGTATCTGTTTGGTCCAAGGTCTGCTCCACCATCTCCACCACCAAAGCACCAAAAACCCATTTCAGACGAAGACCCTAGTGTCTGCCTGGAAATCCCAACAAGATTCCTCACCACAAACACTAAGCCTGACCCGACCAGCATGACATGCGCCACGGCTTCCTTCTCCAGCTTGCTGCCCATGCAGAAAGGGCAACAGTGGAGAAGTGAGGGCATTTGCTAAGAACGGTGTTTCCAACTGTGTTGGCAAATGTCAGCAACCAGATCCCTGGGCCCAGGAGGCAGGGTTTTACCTTGTCTCCATCTCCCTCAAACCTGCAAGAGGAACTGTTGAGAGTCCATGCAAACCTCTGTGTAGGTTAGCCTGGCCTGACACACATCCACCCATGCTCTATGTGAGCTTTGGACATACAGAGCTAGTGATTTCTGGTGGCCTCTACCATAAAGCAAGCATGTTTTCTGAACTCAGTCCCCTATGACTGACAACAGACCGGGCCCAGCAGCATACCCAGCACCTGCGCAGCACTTCCATGCTGAACAGGTTTGGGAGAGGCAGCCAGCACCCCACCTGCCACCAGGCTCTGGAAGCCCAGACCCCTGTGGGGCAGCTTGTGAGCCTGAAGGCCACGTCAGCATTAGGTCGGTGCTGGGGCTCAGCTCTGGCCCACTGACAAAGCAGCTGGCAGAGCAAAGTGCCAGAAAGGATCAAAACATTTTATTCTCTCTCTTTTTTTTAATAAAGTTAAACAGTAAAACAAAAATTCACAAGCTGCCTCCCTGTCCACCCCCCGCCTCCCTCCCCTCCCCGCAGTCTTCAGTGCTGGCTCCCTTTCCTTCACCCCACTCACAGACACAGGGCATCCAACTGAGAAAACGAAACTGCTCTAAGTACATGGAGACATGATGAAGGGAGGAGGTGAACTGTGTCCACATTCAAGGTTAAACTGAGCAAGTCGGCATTTTCTGGATTCTGGATGGTTTCCTTTCATTAGCCAAATTGAAAAAAGAAATTCCCGGGACCAGATGCTGTAGGGAAAAAAGGGCTTGTTAGTTGACTCTGGATTTTCTAGGAAATATCACTTTGCTCTGATTATGGAGAAGTCTCCAAGGGCTGCTTCAAAGTCAGAGAAGAAGCTCTAATGGTATCAAACAGCCTGGGCCCTGGGGTGTTAAGGGAGCACGAGCATGTTGTGAGTATGTGTGTAGCTTCTAAAACCTCCCCTCTTGCAGACAAGCCCTGGTACTAAGTCGTTAGCAAAGCCTCCCTGACTGTGAAGGTGTGGCAATAAGGCAAGGTGTGCCCAGAAAGCTCCCTTCTGCTATCCTCAGCCACGCTGGAGCGGACAGAGGCCCCACTAGATGAGAATTGAGCTGCATCCAATCATGAGCCCCGTGATCAAAGGGCTCCCTCACTGGGGGCTCCCAAGAACAGCAGGCATACCCACCTTCAAAGCTGAAGCCCCCAGGCCCGCCGAAGAATGCCTTGAAGATGTTGTTTGCATCAAAATCTGTGGGCAAGGTGAGAAACAAGGAAGGGACAAAAAGGTGAAAAAAACAGAAGCGTTTGAAGGGGAATTTATCATGACACTGAGAATGGGTCGCCAAAGCTTTCCCAGATAGTATCACCGTCCCTCAGTTTCCCCAACTTCAGACTGGAGGTGAGGACATCTGCCCCGCCCTATGCAAATCTTACCACTTGACCCCACTCCTGGGCTATGCTCCCTTCTGCAGCCCTGACCCCAAAGGAGAGCGTTCTTTGCCTCAACCCAGTTAACTGGCCCTCTCTTCTCACAACTGGGAATGCCATAGACTTTCCCCACACTATCTTCCTACAATGCTTGGGGCTGCTACTGAAAAGGCTAAAATTTATCACACACTACCGAGAATAAATATAAGACCTATACTTTATTGTATCTGTTTGATTCTATGCTGTATAAACTGTATTCCAGAAAACTTGTGGTTTATTAAAACACCAAGTAGGTGCCAATCATGGTGCCGGTACTTTGCATATATATCATTTAATCCTAATAACCGTTTGTCAGGATTAAGTATCATTACCAATTTATATTCAATGAAACATAAATAGGGAGCTCAAGTAATTTCCCAAGATCATGTGGGTAGTAAAAGCAAAATAACTGATTAATTCCAACTTCTGTCTGACTCCAGCACTGTGCCCGTGTCATGAGGTCACAGCAGGTCTGATGCCCCCAACCACTGCCTGACCTAAGTTGCACAGAAAGATTTATCTCCACCCCTGAACCCCAAAGGCACACTGTGTCCAAAAGTGAATTATTTGCCAGCACATCTGTTCATCTTCCTGGGTCCCCTCGCTCAGTGAATGGCCCCATTGAGTCTGCTATGCCAGAGTTACTCTCAACTTAGTCCTTTCCCTCCCAACACATTCAAGCAACCAACTCCTGCTGAGCCCACCATCTCCCACTGTGCCCGCCAGTCCTTTCCATCTACTGTCTTCCCTCCCTTGCTATTCTCTTCCTCTAAACCACCTCTTTGCTGCCATCACAAATGTATTTCCAGAGCCTAAATCTGGCCCATAACTCCCCTACTTAAAACTCTTAAATAGCTTTTGATGGATTATAGCTCCATTACCGGTAAACCTAGGTTTTTCTCTCTCACTGAACTGGAGAGGTCAGGGTTATCTATACATCAGTATTAATCTTATTGTAAGTTCCAAAAGTTTTTCTTAGTGAAGGAAAAGGGGTTGGCATTAGAGAGTGGTCTGAGAAGTGGGCATAGTTCAAGGCCTCTCTTATCGCTGAGCTCAAAGTGAGCAATGATGTTGATAGTTGTGCTTTACTTCATTCTAAGTCTTTTGGGGGAAATTAAAATCTGTGAGTGCTTACAGGAATGTATGATGCAAATAAATATCAGAATACACTGTAGTAGGGGCAAAAGAAATTCCAGCCAATAGGAAAAGCCCATAATCCTGACCCCATCCCCTAAGGCCTCCTGAGGTCTGCTCCAGCTACTCTCTCCACACTGCCCGCCTCGAGCACCCTCTATCCCTCAGAGCCCCTTGGAACTCCCAAGGGTGGTTTACATTTCTGCGCTTCCATGCCGTCCTTCCTTTGCTAAACTCACTCCCCAGTGCCCCCTGCTACACTTAACTGCACTCACTTGATTCCATGTCTATTAGATCAGTGGTCAGATTTGGTCTGCAGGCAGAAGTTTACAAACCTCTAGACTGGGTTCCCGGAGGTCAGGGAACCTGTTTGATTCATCTTTATTCTTTCCAGCACCCAACACGGTGCCTCACATGCCACAGGTCTAGGTCAAGGGCATGCTTTACAAATCACTGCGCGCCACTGGCTGATTACAGTCTTTCCCTCTGGAGTGTCTTCAAAAATATTCTAAAATTCTACAGCTATCAGATGCATCCCAGGTTGCCCAAACCAACTCACCACCCATATTCATGCCCTCCTCATCCAGGTCCTGTCCACTGTCATAGCGAGTCTTTTTCTTGGGATCAGAGAGGATGGTAAAAGCTTCTCCAACTTCCTTGAACTTTTTCTCCTCCTCCTTCTGAACTTCGGCACTGGCTCCACTGTGCCGATCTAAAGGGGGGAGTACAGGGAACTCGTCTCAAAGTCTCAAGAAAGAAGTTAAAGAGAAAGACCACTTGATGTCTGACTTGAGAATTCGGTACCTCCCAAAATTTGGAGGGCACTGAACTTAGCAACACCTTCTTCCCAGTGAAGCGCCTCTCTGAGGCTTTCATTCTGGACTGAGTTTGGTACTGGGCCAGCCTGGCTTGCTCTTCCCACGGAGTCCACGCCCCACCGCTCTACCTGGATGGTGCATCAGGGCCCGTTTCCGATAAGCTTTCTTGATCTCATCCTCAGAGGCGTTCTTGTCCACGCCCAGAATCTTGTAGTAATCTTTCCTCTGACTCTTCTTTAGTTCCATCTGTGCATTTTTAAGGAGTTGTTTGTGTTCTAAAGGGAGACATCTAGCATCAAGGACAAATCTGATCTGGCTTCCCCTACCAGGTCCCAGCCCAGATGTGTTGGAGTCAGAAGTCTTGTTAACTATACTAGGGGCTTTTCTGGTGTGTTTTCCCCCTAGAGATTAAAAAAAACCTACTCATACTTAGAGTTTCTCACATCGGTCTCATCACAGAGAAAAGGATGTGAAGTTAACAGGCAAAATTTGGGACCAGAAAAATAGATGCCTCGTTCTACACTCAGGATTTCTGTTCACTTCTTCCTGGCTGGTGATCGAATAAGCTCCAGCTACAATCATGATCCCTAAATCAAATCACCCGTGTCCAGTTCTTAGGGCCGACAAGCAAGGCCACACCGTTTCCTGAGAAGCATGCTCCCAAATACCTTTACCTTTTGTTTTCTCCGTCTGATACACCTTTTCATAGTCCCGCACTGCTTCTTCATACTGTTCTGTGTCCATGTAACTGAGAAGGAAATACAGGGCAGTCGAGTGACATAAATAGCAATGGCCTTCAGTATCACTCTAGAGGAAGAGGCCTGGCTCAAGCATGAAACACAGACTTTTGGTTGAGATGCTTCATGAAACAGGAGTCCTTAAGCTAGCATGAGAAAAAATTAACCACCACACTTCCTTGAGAAAAACAGAGAGGTCTCATGCCCCTTGCACCCAACCCGCAAAGTGATAGTCTGCTCCGAGCAGAAAGCAACCAAGAGAAACTTCCTTTTGATTTCATAGAGCCACCAAGAGGCATCTGGCCTGCCTTAGGAAAGGCAATGTGAAAGCACCCATTTGATTACTTGAGATTAAAACACACAAGAAAAATTATCAAGTGAGATAAATGGATATGGAAGAGCTTTGAAACCTAGAGTGCCATAAACATGCAGGGCCAGCCTCAATCCAGAGTGGAAGTGGGATTAGTGAGCCACTAGAAGGATCACGGTCAAGGTGGTGGCCACTGGGAAATGCTTTCATTAAGACCAATCAATCTGAGAGATATAGGTGAGACAGAAAAGGACTCTAAACTTAGGCTTGCTTCCATTTGGATAGTGCAAAAGAAAGGAGGGGACCTGGCCCAAGATGGGAGGAATCTAGCTTTTGATAGGCCGACTGCTAGACCTTTTAAGTGTTTCTTCCACAGAAGCCAAGGGGGCATCTTCTGTGTCCTGATAAGATCACTGGCACCAAGACTGGCTACCAATTATATCGAAGACTGTGGTAGTGGTCGTAGAGACAGACACCATCAGTTGAGGAATGGGAAGTGACTATGCAGTGCAGCTGGCCGACGCACAACAAAGATTCAATTTACTCCAATGCTCCCACACAGGCCCATCTTCCCAAACACCACAGAGCCCACCGGGCTTGCAGGCCAGGCAGAGGAAGTGCTGCTTATATAGCTGGCCAAAGAGAAGCCCAACAGTTGAGGCATCTCCGACTTTCTGTCAACACCTTGATTTATGCCTTTAAAAAAAAAAGATAACTAAACCATGCCCTATGGACACAAATGCTATTAGGAGCTCAGATAACCAATTTACAGGATGAAGTATAATATAAACGGAAGTGAAAAAAAAATTGGTAACTGATAGCCCTGGGTGTAGAATGATCTGACAAGCAACCTTGACGAACTTTCCAGATCCATATGTGATATGTTCAACAAGCTGGTTTTACAGTGATTTGCATTTTACCTCACACTTAATAAAAAAATTCTAGGACATTCTTACATTTAAAAGTTTTTCTGAAGTTGAAGTAGAAAAGTAAGCAAAGCCTTAGGGAAAATGGGAAATGCCAGCTCATGATGGGAAATATAGCAATGATCTGACATCTCCCCAACTTTAGGGACAAACTGAGGCAGACTAGGACAACAATCAGGCCCCTGGTCTGAGCTAATCTCCAATTCTTCTTGTGGGGGCTGCTGCCAAATCCTCAACCAACTGTGCCCAACTATGCTGCTGCCCCTGTGGTGGGATCTCAAAAGTAGAGCCACTCAGAGGACAGTTTTATTTCTACCACAAAGATGATGTCTCTGATCAAAGCAACTCCTGATTTTTGTTTACTGTACCCATATGAAAAAAATAACCTCCATTCACCCTCCTCCTAACAAATCAAGAATGTCTATTCTCTCGCCATTGCAGTATCATGTATCTAGACATACAGGTGGTTCTCCATTTTTGCTATTAGTTAAAACTGTAGGAAACATGTATACAGCATCTTGCATCTGTTAAAGTAAGTCTTTAGCTGGGTCAAAGGGTACTCTTTTATCTTTCGAAGTTTCCACATTTGTTTGTCAGTGGTTTGTAAAGATGAGATTAACTGACAGTTGGTCTCACAGAATCTATAATTTTGCATTTGTTTCTGTTTCACAGACTTAGTCCTCTACTTAAAAATCCACTCACGTAGCAGTTTTCCTATTTTTAAAAAATGTGGATAATTTTGGCAAAACTAGGCCACCTTCTGACCACCTTCTGCACCACCAATGAGACTTGGGCACTTAAAGAATGATAGGCTCATCAGGCAGTACAGCACCTACTCTTTAGAAATGATATTTTATAATGAGGACTGAAGGGGCAATGGAAGATCAATATACAAGTAGGTCTTCCATTAGAAATTTTGAAAATGGGAGGTTCCTTGTCTGGGAAAGAATCTGAAAAAAGATAGATGTGCATTGGCTGAGTGGCTCAGTTGGTTGGGGCATTATCCTGTACACCAAAAGGTTGCGGATTCCATTCCCCATCAGGGCACATTACTAGGTTGCGGGCTCGATCCCTGGTGGGGGCATGTAAGGGATGTAACTGATTGATGTTACATCTCTCTCTTTCTCTGTCTCTCTCCCCTTTCTAAACACATCTTCAGGTGAGGATTTAAAAAAAAAAAAAAAGTAATAAGATTAATTTTTGAAAGGGGTCTCTCCTAGCTCTTGCTAATATTCTTGCATAGAGAAGACTCTGGTGGGTCCAAGAGTTAAGATGAACAAGTATGCTCTGGGCACTAAAGGCAGGCATACCCTGGCTCGGAAATCAGCTTGTCAGATGGGTATTTTCAAAGGGGGTTCCATATACTGCTGGGAGGTTGAGCTAGATTAAATCTCTTCTAACTTTAAGACTGTCTTTCCTAACCCAAACAAACAGGCTAAGCAATACTCTCAACTGTCTCCAAGATTATTCTTCTTCCAAACACCATACAGTCATTCAACATTTATTGAGTGAGCACTTACTATGTTCCAAGCACTGTGCCAAGTTAGAGCAAAAGTGTACAACACAAAACAAAATCTCCAAAGAAAATGGATTTAAACTTTAACAAAAGGTATTTGGGTCAGGCATCAGAGGAAACTTACTGACCGTGAGGGGCGTAAGACACAGGCATGGGAGACTGAGGGAGCTTGTGCAATCTCCTCCGCTGGAGGTCTATAAACATAGTTTAGGGCTGGAACAATCCCACCTAGAGGCAGGGGGAAGGACCAAATGACCTCACAACATCCCCGGGTCTGCTTCATCATCCATAATGCAATTCCCCTGGCAGGCCAGCAGCAACTCCCTCTTCCCCCCACCCAGCAGAGGCACTCACCACTGAGCTCTTCTCAAGTAGGCTTTTATGTAAGTGTCATCGAGCTTCACTGCACTTGTGCAGTCTTCTATTGCATCATCTAGTTTCCTAAGCTTCAGGAGAGAGAGAGCAGTCATACTTCACATGGTGGTGATCAAGGGAGCCCAGAAGCTGTGAGAATGGCTTCAAAATTCTAAGGGGATTGGTCATGCTGGCTCCCCAACTGTCACACTTGTTCTTGGTCACTGGTAAAGTCTCTATCTCAGTGGACTAAGGACACCAAATTTGAAATTGGTTCCTTCTCTAAGTAATGGAAGCCAGGCACACTTATCTGGAAGGATAAAACCACCTCTACTATTCCAGGTTAGTGCTCAACAATGGAAACAGTAAGAGTGGTTCCTGTCCTCCATTCCTCCAGAGACCAACTAGAGCAGTGATTGCGAACCTTTTGAGCTCGGAGTGTCAGCATTTTGAAAAACCCTAACTTAACTCTGGTGCCGTGTCACGTATAGAAATTTTTTGATATTTGCAACCATAGTAAAACAAAGACTTATATTTTTGATATTTATTTTATATATTTAAATGCCATTTAACAAAGAAAAATCAACCAAAAAAATGAGTTTGCGTGTCACCTCTGACATGCGTGTCATAGGTTCGTCATCACTGAACTAGAGGGATCAGGATTACTGGGATTTTTAACGACTGGAACTCTGCAAGGAGCCTACTCTTGTTTTCTACGGTGTATAGGACCACAGGGGCACTCTCTTTTCAACTGAGCATGGTGACCATCAGTTATGCTGAAGAAAAAAACCCAAGCCTGCCTCATACTCTCATTTCCTCCAAATCACTCCTGAAGAATCACTTGCTTAGGCAAAAAGAAGCAACAATACTTGCTGCAACAACTGTCCCAGAGCTCCTGCCATTCTCTGGAAAAAAAGGACTTTACATCGTTGCTCAAGTGCCGCTAAGTTCCACAGAAAATATAAAAGCTTGCCTCTCAGAAGGAAGTTCTTAATAAGCCGAGATACCAACCAAACAGCTTTTCCTCCTGTCTTCTGGGTTACCCTCAGTGGGGAGATTTCCCAAGACCTCTCCTATGTCCCTTAAAAAAATCTCCATAGGCCCCAGACCAAGTGCTTACCTTGGAATTAACCGTACCCCGATTACAGTAGAGTTTAGCATTTGTTTTTATATTGTTGGGGTCTATCCCCAGGGCTTCTGTGTACAGTTCATATGCTAGCTTGTAATTTCCTTCTTTAAAGGCTTTATTTCCATCTTCTTTCTTTGCTTTCAGTGCTTTGGCATTCTATAGAGAAAAGCAAGGGGAGGTCAGTTCACATCCAGAAAGCCTCGGACCCCTGCACAGAGACTACCCTGTTTTTAATTTCTTGATCCCAGTAGTTCAGCATCACACAGCCCCCGACCCCACCCGACCCCACCTCCTGAGCTATTTGTTCTTCACTGAGCTTCCTACAGAGTGGACAGAAGAAAACTAGATTTATAAAAGAAAACCAAGGAGAACTGTGTTTCCCAGGGTTTACCTCTACTCCCCAGGACAAGCATTACTATCTTCACTGAGGGAAGAAAAGAAAAACCACTTAAATATTAAAAGGATCTGACCTGTCTGATCACATTTATCTTTAGGCAAACTAAAGTAGTTCTGAAATCTGTTTTAATGTAGAGAATTTTCGTAAGAGTATATCTGAGTCAACCTGATGACATATGCCAGGGAGCGAAATCTCAAATGCTGCCCTGAAATCGTTCTAATAAAAGGACCAAGCATTCTGACAAGCATTCCTGTGATTCTAAAGCCTTCCATTCCAAACTCTTAGGCTCAAAAAGTAAGCTTCTTTACCACATAGATCTGGTATCTAGAACTTACTCTGCAAGCAACACAGGCCTTCTCATGGTCAGGAGCCATCCTGAGAGCCTGTACAAAAAACTGAACCGCCTTCTCAATACAATCTTCATAATAAAGGCAAAGACCTCGTACATACAGAGCATCTGCATTGGTGGAATCCATTCGTAAAATGTCACTGCAATAGCAAGAAAGAAGGCACATTTAGCTGTGGTTTGGATTTCCCCACCATTACTATTTTATTTGTGGGTTTTTTTCCTTGACCATGTGTCTAACATGGACGTATCCAAAGGTAGGCAGATTCCCAAGAATTTTTCCCAAACAAACCACATACATGCCTCACAATCTTTATTAAAATAGGGGTTAGCAAACTACAGCCCACAGGACCAAATCCTGTCTGTCACCAGTTTTTGTATATAAAATTTGATTGACACCAAGCCACATCATTCATTAATCTACTCTCTATGTCTGCTTTTGCATTACACAGGCAGAATTGAACAATTGCAACAGAGACCACATAGCTTGCAAAGCTTGAAATATTTATTATGAGTATTTGCAAACCCCTGGAATAGACAGAAAAGGACATTTAAAAAAAAAAATCCATGACTGCCCGGTGTGGCTCAGTTGGTTGAGGGTTGCTCCATGCACCAAGAGGTCATCGGTTCAATTCCTGGTCAGGGAACATGCCCAGGTTGTGGGCTCAATCCCCAGTAGGGGGCGTGGAGGCAGCCAGTCAATGTTTCTTTCTCTCCCTCTCCTGTCCTATCTCTAAAATCAATTCTAACATTAAGGAAATACAAATAAAAAATAAACAAATTCACACATCTGTTCTTTCATATATAGCTTAAGTACTTATTATACTCCTATATTCCTTATGGGTTTTCAAAGTTAGTCTAATATTTGGTTTTAAGTCCCAGGAAGGTCTGGTCAGCCCTAGCTGGCCTACCTACAAGACACACGGTAGCTACTGCTGTAGATAGCACCCATCCAGTAGAATCTGACTTTTCAATGCAGAACTGGCCTGAATTCATACCTAGCCACAGACTGTGCTTCTGGATAACGACCCAGCATTGCTAAACATTCTGCTTTGAGGATTTTGAAGCGATGGCAAGCAGGGGCAAATTCTAGTGCACGATCCATGCAGAAAACCACCTACAGGGAGGAAGAAAGCAAATAAAGTTCTTCATCCTGGACTCCAGAAATGTCTTCATGTTAGTTTTGTCACAGGTAAAAGATTCAAAGGAGAGTAATATCAGTTTAAGAACATACCTAATTCATTTGATTAAAGCACTGAAATGAGGAAAGCAGTTGATCCAGATGATAATGGTGACAGCAAATATGTAACGGTACTTTGTATATTAACTCACTTGATGCTCACACAATTTTATAAAGTAGGTAATATTATTACCCTTATTTTACTGATGAAAATACTAAAGCACAGGGATTAAATAACTTGTTCAAGGTGACCAACAGAAACAGGATTTGATCTTAAACACTAAGACTCCAGGGCCTATAACCTTAATCACCATGCTAAGCTGCCTCCACAGTGAAGCATACCCACAATGACTATGATCAAAAACTCATATTCTTCTAATGTAGAAACTGTTACTTGATACTTTGCATAGTTCATCATGTTTAGCCTCGTAAGACAAGAAGTACTAAAAATAACCTGGTGCGGAATCATTGCTCTGTTATTGAAATTGCTCACAGTTCTCTCCTCCCTGTGTCAGGAACCTCAACTCTCAGAGTTCCCTGGTGACCACTCTTCCACTTTTATTTTAGTAGAGAAATATGCCAATAAAACAATTCATTTACAATGGTCAGAAATAAACCGTATCAGATTGCTATATTCAACATGGTGCTATACAAACCAAAAGACAAGTATCTCCCCCGCGCCCCCCACCCCACCCCGCCCAAACACATACACTCGCATACAACTGGGATTAGTTCCCTCTTTCAGTTTCATAAAGGCTCTCTGTATATTTCTATTTTTTCTTTTTAGAAGTTTGTTCTCCGAGCTTTCATTTTTTGGTTTAGCTGCCATTCCTGGGAGATCCTTGCTGAATCACATTCTCCTCCAAGAATAACTCACCCAAAGGCAAAGTCTGGAGTTAAGGGTTACCCATTCCCTCTAATAATCTGCCCAAAGGGATCAGGAAGAGATGAAGTTTGAAAACTCAAAGCAGCAATAACTCAAATTCCACACAGGAGACTAGTTAGATAATGCAGACCTTCATATAATGGAATACTATGTGGCTCTAAAATAGAACGAAGTTCTCCATGTATTAATATGGAAAGACTTCCAAGGTCTAGTAAATGGTACAGAACCATGTAGAGCGTATTACCTTTTATACCAAAAAAAGAAAGAAAATTAAGAGTCTATATTTGTATTTGCTTATATATGTAAAACAAAATTATGGAAGGAAATAGAACAGTGGTTCTCAACCTTCTGGCCCTTTAAATACAGTTCCTCATGTTGTGACCCAACCATAAAATTATTTTCGTTGCTACTTCATAACTGTAATGTTGCTACTGTTATGAATCATAATGTAAATATCTGATATGCAGGATGGTCTTAGGCGACCCCTGCGAAAGGGTCGTTCGACTGCCAAAGGGGTCATAACCCACAGGTTGAGAACCGCTGAAATAGAACAAACAAGAATAGTGGCTACTGTGGTGTGAGATCGAGGCAGGTGGAGGATAAGTTGGGGCAACACTTAACACTGAATATATTTATACTTTCTAGCTTTTAAACCATAAGAACCACCCACTTGAAAATTAAATAAACACCATGAGCTGTTGCACTGGGAAGACTTTCCGCAGTATTAAAAGAGTAGTGGTAGAGATGCCTCTCCTTCAATGGCACAGGTTACTTCCTGGAAGTTCTAAGGACAATATGAAAATTCAGGTATTATGCAGGCAGAGTCATGGTATTAATTTTTCCTCTTTAAATGGAAAAAGAATGGGGGTGGGGTAGGGGTGGGGAGCAGTCAGTCACCATTTCAGCAGCCACACCCTGCTGCTTTCACAAAGTTCTGTATGGAGACGGTTCTGTCATCATGGGGAGTGTCAGAGGCTCAGTGCTTCACTTCCCACCCCCATCTCCCTATGACTAGGGACAGCTGCAAGCAAAGAAGATCTTTGTTTCTTCTAACTTCATCTGTTCCCCCAGCCAAGATCATAATTCTTCATTTGTGACATCACCATGAGCTACAGTGGCGGGGGCTGGGATGTCACAAACAGAGGATTCTATCATAAAGTGGGGATTCTGGTTCCAGAGAGGGCAAGGGAGAAATGAAACCCAAAGGCCGCCCTTTGAGAGAAAGTTTTTGTCCACGCAAACCTCAGAAAACATGACAAGATGCAGAATTGCTTTCCAAACATACACACACAAAAACAAATTAAAAAAAGAATGCACGTATAAATCACACTACAAAGATAGTGTGGTTATTAAAACCAATGGATAGAAGAGGGATGTTAAATAAGTTAATGCTGGGACTCTCCATAAGCTAATCAGATATATATGTATTACCAAATAAAAGACCTTTTAACAGTGTACGACTTAAGAACAATTCTTCAAGTGAAACCTATATGTTCATGTTGATCAATGTCACCCCAATAAATTTAATTAAAGTGATAATAAAAAACAACCAAATGAATAATTCTTAACTGTACACTTTTGTCAAACATTTATTGAGTATATGTTGCAGAAAGCTCCAAGCGAATTCCGACATATAAAGCGACAACTCCGTTCCTTGGATGGTACTCATAAACTTCCTTTAAGTGATCTGAAAATCAATCCTGATCAGTGTTTTTTAACCTTTTTGGGAGCCCTTTATCTCCTCTTTTGAAAGTCTAGTGAAAGCTACTTCTGAGTACCATCTAAAGAAGGGGGTTAGGAATTATTATACAGATGAGGTACCTAGAGCTTTTGTACTTCTCCCATGTTTTAGATTTGTCAACCCCTTTGGCTTTAAATTTCCATGAACTATCACACAGCTCCATAAAGGGCAGAGTGTGCTTTTGTAGAAAGGCCTAACATCAAAAAGGTAGTGATGTCAGGTTACATACACTATTCAAAATGTAAAAGGGGCCTCTCTCTAGTTTTGATTTCTAGCTCCATCAAGCTCTCATAAAGCAGGTGTTAAAACTAGCTCTCATTATTGAAATAAAAATAGACGCCAGCCGGTGTGGCCCAGTGGTTGAGCATCAACCACTGGGCCACGAGGTCACAGTTCGATTCTCAGTCATGGCACAGATCCAGGTTGTGGGCTCGATCCCTGGTGTGGGATGTGCAGAAGGCAGCCAATCAATTAAATGATTCTCTCTCATCCCTGACGTTTCTCTCTCTTTGTCCCACTCCCTTCCTCTCTGAAATCAATAAAAATGTATTTTTAAAAAAATGTATTTTATTGATTTTTTACAGAGAGGAAGAGAGAGGTGGAAACACCAATGAGAGAGAAACATCGATCAGCTGCCTCCTGCACACCTCCCACTGGGGATGTGCCCGCAACCAAGGTACATGTCCTTGGCTGGAATCGAACCTGGGACCTTTCAGTCCGCAGGCTGACGCTCTATTCACTGAGCCAAACCAGTTAGGGCTAAAAATGTATTAAAAAAATAGATTATCCTCCCTGACCGGTTTGGCTCAGTGGAATGAGCGTCAGCCTGTGGACTGAAGGGTCCCAGGTTCGATTCTGGTCAAGGGCATGTAGCTTGGTTGCGAGCATATCCCCAGTAGGGGGTGTGCAGGAGGCAGCTGATCGATGTTTCTCTCTCATCAGTGTTTCCAACTCTCTATCCCTCTCCCTTCCTCTCTGTAAAAAATCAATAAAATATATTTTAAAAAAAATAGATTATCCAAACCCAGTATTTATTAGTAATTCCAACTGGCTTTTCCTTTTTTTCCTAAAAGAACATTTTTAGACCACTATCTTATATAAAAAACAGGAACTCGTGTAACAAATTCATTTTGCTTTTTGTCATCATAAAGCCAAATATAATTAACAAAAAAGTACTTTAGTAAAAAATAATTTTAAATGCCAGTGATGATGTGGAACAATAGGAACTCTCATTCATTGCTGGTGAAAATGCAAAATGGTATAGCCACTCTGGAAGACATTTTGGCAGTTTCTTGTAAAACTAAATATATTTTTATATAATCCAGCAATTACACTTCTTAAATTTACCCAAAGGAGTTGAAAAATGTCCATACAAAAATCTGCACATGAATGTTTATAGAAGCTTTATTCATAATTGCCAAAAACCTGGTTTAACAAATGTACCTCCAGTGGGGGATGCTGACAGGGGGGAGGCTATGCTTGTGTGGGGGCAGAGAGCATAAGAGAAATCTCTGTACCGTCTTCCTGATTATTCTGTGAATCTACAACTGTTCCAAAAGAAAGGATGTCTTAAAAAAAGAAAAAAGAAAATGTCTAATTAAATTTACTATTCTAGATCTTCTGTACTACGCTACTACTCCTCTTAATTCTCTCTCTCTCTCTCACTCACACACACACACACACACACACACACACACACATACACACACAACTTTGTGAGGAAAGGATAAGATTTCCTTATAGTTGTACTTTACCTTCCGAAAATCCCGCTTCTCAAAATCCGTTTCTGCTATTTTCTCATATTCTATGACTGCATTTGCATTCTTGAACTACATCAGAAAATCAGATAAGGGAGAGTTTTAATGAAGTTGTAGATTCAACCACCACAAAAATCAATAAGACTGATGAATAAGTTATTTCAAGAAAATCAGAACCACAGACTTTTCACAAATCAAGTTGGTGAAGATACAGCCAAACACCTTAATAGAAAGGCCAACGCCCTAATCTTACCCTCATTTTGAACTTAGAAACTCAAGAATACAAGAATCATGCCTTGATATACTAGTAAACAAAATAAAGGCAAGGCATTGTCAGGGACTGAGCAAAAAAACCTTGCAGATTCTCACTAAAATACATCCATGGGTAAACTGAGCATATATGGGATGGCAATAAAACATGTTTCAGCTACCAATTTAATCAGGATTTGAATTTACTAAATTCTTTTCCTAATATATGTTTTCTTAATTAATTTTAGAGAGAGAGGGGAGAGGGAGGGAGGGAGGGAGGGAGGGAGAGGGAGAGAGAGAGAGAGAGAGAGAGAGAAACATCAATTGGCTGCCTCCTGTACGCCCTCTACTGTGGATTGAGCCTGAAACCCAGGTCTGTGCCCTGACCAGGAATCAAACCAGTGACCTCTTAGTTTATGGGTCGATTCTCAACCACCAAGCCACACTGGCTAGGCTAAATTTACTAAATTCTTTAGCCTCGCTCAAATCAGTTCTTTGATGCATCTGTCTATTCCCTTAGCAATCTTGGAAACCTTCCAATTTGCACAGATTTCTAAAGCTGTAAATCATATTCAAAACTCCTTTGAGCCAGGCCAGTATGGCTCAAGAAGTCCCTGGTTTGATCCCAGTGAGGGCACATGCCCAGATTGCAGGCTCGATCCTAGTAGGGGGCATGCTGGAGGCAGTAATCAATGATTCTCTCTCATCACTGATGTTTCTCTCTCTCCCTCTCCCATTCCTCTCTAAATTCAATAAAATTAAAATTTAAAAAACCCCACAAAAAAACACAAAACACTCCTTTGACAGATTAAGAAGCCGAGGCTCAAAGAAACTATGAGACTTGCCTACAGTCACCCAGGTGTGGCTGATGGCAGAAGTGAGACTAGATGTCAGTTCTGACTCTCAAGTCAATATTCCTTGCCTTTTTGATACAGATAGGATCAGACCCGTACCTCCTGTTGTGCCTGAGCATTTTTGTGATCCAATTCTAGGGCTCTCTGGAAGCTGCGACAGGCTGCCATGGCATTCCCTAAAGATAGGTGGCATTTGCCTTCTCGTAGATGTCCCTAGAAGAAACACAAAGGACAATAAGGAGCATGAGTGGCCAAGCAGGCAGAAATCAACAGCAGCAACAAACACTCACAAAAACCAACATGGGCCCTAACCGATTTGGCTCAGTGGATAGAGCGTTGGCCATCGGACTGAAGGGTCCCAGGTTCAATTCCGGTCAAGGGCATGTACCTCGGTTGTGGGCACATCCCCAATAGGGGGGTGTGCAGGAGGCAGCTGATCGATGTTTCTCTCTCATTGATGTTTCTCTCTATCCCTCTCCCCTCCTCTCTGTAAAAAATCAATAAAATCAATAATATACGTGTGTGTGAGTGTGAGTGTGAGTATGTGTGTATATATATCCAACATGGGATGAAAATGGCTGGAGAAGTGGTTCTCAACCAGAGCTGATTCTGCATTCCATGGGACATTCAGCAATGTCAGAGACATTTTTGATTGTTATAGCTGGGCAGGGAAGGGGTGCTACTGATACCTTAAAGGCCAGGGATGCTGCTAAACATCCTACAATGCACAGGATATAACCCCACAACAAAGAATTATCTGGCCCAAAATATCAAGAGTGTTAACACTGAAAACTCTTCAGCTAGAAGTCAACTGCAGCAACTCAGTCCTCCCCAGAGCCCATTACATACCCGGACGAAACTGTCATCCAACCTCACTGACTGCTGTGCATCTCCAAGAGCTTCCCGGAACCTTCCAAGCATCATCAAGGTGGCTGCTCGATTCCCATAATAGCTAGCATTTTTAGGACACATATCTACAGGAAAGGAAGGAGGTAAAACAAGGTTTAGAATGGGTCATTGCTCCAAAAACTCAAGGGCCATCTCCCTCAGAACTGTAATAGGAATGATGACACACTTTAAAAAGCCACCATCAAATTTTTGACTACCTGTGCAAATGGCTAGCAGCAATGGTGCAATTTAAAAATAAAACACGGCATTAAACTTAGCTTTAAAGTGCATTAATTATCTTTTGGAATAGGGGTCAGCATATTTATCTTCTTACTGGACTGTGTTTTATATAATTAGATATGAAAATGAATTTGCATCTGTCTAGCTGGGGATGGGAAACCTGTAAAGCAAGTTAGGTGAGAAAAATGCTAGCATGGGATTAAAATATGTTGACAAATTGAGGAAGACGGTAACTAAGACCTGACAATGTTCAAAGGCAATGATGAAATGCATTTAGGTGGGCATCTTTTTGCCATAACATTTAGAATTTCTGGAGTTGCTTTTAATTTTCCAGAAGAACTACCATCCACTTAAGCTAGAAAAAGTAATTTCCGTCTGGCCAGTGTGGGTCAGTGGTTGAGCATCAACCTAAGAACTAAGAGGTCCCCGGTTCAATTCCTGGTCAGGATACATGCCCAGGTTGTGGACTTGATCCAGTAGAGGGCGTGCAGGAGGCAGCCAATTGATGTTTCTCTCTCATTGATGTTTCTATCTCTCTATCCTTCTCCCTCCCTTCTCTTTAAAAATCAATAAAAACATTAAAAAAAAAAAAAAGTAATTCCCTCAGGAGGCCATTAAGCTTGAATATATGCTACTTCTTAGAGAGGAACTATTTATAACAGTATTTAGCAAATTATTTTCCAGCATAAGCACGAGGTTCATCTCACCTATGGCTTTTGTATAATAGTTATAAGCTTCATTGTAATCTTTCTTGGCATAGTATGCATTTCCTTGTTCCTTGAAAGACTCTGCTTCCCTGAAAAGGAAAGAGAAAGAGAATCATGTTACTCTCTACACCAGTGATGGTGAACCTTTTGAGCTCGGGGTGTCAGCATTTTGAAAAACCCTAACTTAACTCTGGTGCTGGGTCACATATAGAAATTTTTTGATATTTGCAACCATAGTAAAACAAAGATTTATATTTTTGATATTTATTTTACATATTTAAATGCCATTTAACAAAATCAACCTAAAAAATGAGTTCACGTGCCACTTCTGACACGCGTGTCATAGGTTCGCCATCACTGCTCTATACCTAGGCAATCACCTCTTTAATCTCATAGGAGCAATCTTTGGTCTAGAGCCCCTGCCTGGCACATTGAGCTGAAAGTTAGTGTGGCACTTGAAAGAATTTACAGATTTGTTCAATTGGCTCAGGTTCAAAAGGAGGTGCTAATGAAGGAATCAATGGTCTTCAGATGTTATTTTTTGTCACTTAGATACATTTAAACTAAGAAAACCTCTCTCATGCCACCTGCCTTGCCTCACTACTCCCACCCGAAGTCACTGTCCTTTTGACAGGCAAATTTAGACACAGAAACGGAATCTTTATATATTTACTTCCTTTCCACTGTGTCCCAACTGCTGCCACTTTAGTGAACTTACGAAAAAATAAGCTACAGCCCTAACCGGTATGGCTCAGTGGATACAGCGTCGGCCTGTAGACTCAAGGGTCCCAGATTCGATTCCGGTGAAGGGCATGTACCTTGGTTGTGGGCACATACCAGTAGGGAGTGTGCAGGAGGCAGCTGATCGATGTTTCTCTCTCATCGATGTTTCTAACTCTCTATTCCTCTCCCTTCCTCTCTGCAAAAAATCAATAAAATATATTTTTTTAAAAAGTGAGCTACACATAATATCATTCAGGGCAACTGATTTCTCAATGTAAAGTGGCTCATATCCTTAGAATTTTAACGATTTACTCTCGTGAAAAGTGGCTCATGCGTTTATCACTGGAAGGACAAGCAGACAAAAATCAGAAGGCAAAGGAGTTAAAAGCACAGCATATTGGTGTTTAAGAAAGCAAGCAAGAGTGACAGCAAAGACCAAGAACTTGGATGACAGGGACATATGAGGTATAGGCTGCAATGCCATGCTCTAAAAACCCATCTTTCAGTGTTCCCTCTGCCCATCACACATATGTGGGTACTTTCTGCCCCCTCTACTATTATATCCCTGTAGTACTTTGTATAATCACCAAGGGGGTAATATCAGAATTTCTGCCCTAACCCAAGATACATTTTTTTTGAAGCTGTGCCATTAGACAAACTTTATAACTTCATTCTCGGGCCGTACAAACCTATCAACTTAAAAATTAGCCTGCCCACAGGTGGCCCAGTGGTTGAGCATCAGACCTATGAACCAGGTCATGGTTCGATTCCCAGTCAGGGTACATGCCCTGTATGTGGGCTTGATCCCCAGAAGAGGGTGTGCAGAAGGCAGCCGATCAATGATTCTCACTCATCATTGAAGTTTCTATCTCTCTTTCCCTTCCTCTCTGAAATCAATAAAGGTATATTTTTAAAAAATTAGCCTGCTATAGCCCTAGCCGGGTTACTCAGTGGTTAAGAGCACTGGCCTGCAGACTAGCCTTCGGTCAAGGGCACATGCCTGGATTGCTGGCTCGATTCCCCCACTGGGGGCTTGCAGGAAGCAGTCAAACAATGATTCTCTCTGATCACTGATGTTTCTATCTCTCTCTCCCTTTCCCTCTGAAATCAATAAAAACATATTAAAAGTCCGGAAAAAAAAATTAGCCTGCTATGTTTGGTCAAACATTTAATTAACTCACCCCTAATGCCTTGGCAGGGCCAGACCAAATGATTTCAAGGTCCTTATATGGCCTATGGGCCAGATGTCCCCCACCCATTTTAAAGGCACAAACTAGTAACCTCTATCAAAGATACCCAAAATCATTCCACTGACCAACTTGAATGACAAAGATAAATTCTTTGTCAAAATGATTACCACAATATTACTAAAAAATCTGAGCATTTTTGTTATAAGAAAGAGTCTTTGTTTCTTTTCTTATCCTCCAGATATGTAAAAACAAACTGAGTTTAAGGGTTGCCTGAAGTGAGGACAGAAGTATCTAGTTCTTAACCTTGTGATGGTCTGGGAGTTTACAGCTTGACTCGATGAATACTGGCATTGGGGAGATTTGTGATTTATTTACGTATGTATTTTAAACTACAAACTGGCAAAGCTGCCCTCCTTTTATTGAGGTGATCTCCCTTTCCATTCTTCTCCATGACTGTTCTGGCAAGTCCTACAAATATGAAAAAGTGCTAGAAGAAAGGATAATGGGAATGACCTAAAATGCTAAAAAGAATTTAATTGTGACGGACATAAATCTGTTTTGAGTAATTTTAAAAAATATATATTTTATTGATTTTCTACAGAGGGGAGGGGAGAGGAATAGAGAGTAAGAAACATTGATGAGTGAGAAACATCGATCAGCTGCCTCCTGCACACCCCCCACTGGGGATGTGCCCGCAACCAAAGCACATGCCCCTGACCGGAACCTGAGACCCTTCAGTCCGCAGGCCGACGCTCTATCCACTGAGCCAAACCACTTATGGCTTGAGTAATTTTTTTATATCAACTTCACAATGTATAAAGAAGCCATGTGCTGTTGAAAGTCCTCAAGAAGGATCCCCCAACTGCAAGACTGTGGGACCGACGGCAATCTTTCTACATGGTGTGCACCATCCGATAGCTCTAAGTGAACCAAGGCACTACATGAAAACTAGGAGGAGCCTATCCCGTCAGAGCAGACATGTCAAGAGAGTCGAAGAAAGGGCTTCCCCAACCCTGGATTTCAGAAGTTGAGTCAAATTCCCGTGAAGAAATGAGTACCAATTCAAAGGAAACATCAGGTCCAAAATCATGCCCCAAAAGATCTAGCCGTTTCTTCAGCTGGCTAGTGGCTGAGACTACACAAATTCTCGAGGAAAACCGAAGGCATCTAAGCACTTGGATAGACGTGTCAACAGTATAAAGCTTGCCAGTCAGAGGTGAAACAATCTGTAGAGCTACTGCAAGGTGGCCTTTCATGGAACACTAATCCCAAGGAGGCTAGCGAGCTCAGCGAGGGCTTCTGGTAAAAATGCAAAGGGTGATTTCTGTGGAAGATTAGTAATAATCATTGAGGCCAGGTACTTTCCATACTTTATTACCATTTTTCAAAGGAGGAAATAAGGTTTAGAGGGAGAAAATTGGCCCAAGGTCAGGCTGTCAACCCACACCTGTCAGATTCCAAAGCTCTGCACTCTGTACCATGCTATGCTTTCTCTCTAATGTTCACCTCCACCTATTGCCTAAGACTTAAAAGTTAATCTGTACTTCCAGGAACAAGACATGGGCAATGACCATGAATTTCTTTAAACTAAGACAAAAAACAGCCCAGCATATAAAACCCAACTCCAGAACTGCAACCTGCATTTAAATAAGCAAAATGACATTCTAACAATTAGTCATAGAGAGAGCAGGGCTCCTTTAAGATGCGAGACCTAGTGAAATGGACTTCGCCTCCCCCAAGAAATGCATTTCATTTTAGTAAATGGTGAGTAGATTCCATTCTAGAGCAAACAAAGCGAGTAATGTAGAGTCAGCCCACAGCAAAAAGAACAAGAAGAATTGTGTTGTGACAAGTTACCATGTTTTTAACCTCACACGGCACAGCATCAGGGCAGAATTAGCTATTCCCACACAATTGCCTCATGAAAAGGACTTATTTTCATAGAAACATGGTTGATTAACAGCTGCCTAAACAATGGCACTTGGTGCTGCTTTTAGACTGAATGCTTATTTTTTGCCTTCAGGTCCAATGCCCAAAGTGGAGTACCTCTCCATTTTGATCCTCCCCACTAAATACATGACAAGCTTTAACCAATGGGCCTGACCCTGTGAGAACAGCCGAGGAAAGAGTGGATCTTTGGAATCCAGCATGGCAGCAGCAAGAACTGAACAAGGCTGCATCAGGAACAATTCCAGGGTCAAATCCATTCAAATCCTGCCCTGGGAGTCTGAGAAGGGGTTGAACTTGTTCAAGTTGCCCTTACAGCAAAGGGACTTGAAGGATGAGATGTCAAAGGCATGGGACTAGAAAAGAAGGAGAAGAGCTGGTTAACACTGGAATTGAGGGCAATCTGGAGGTGGCATCTGTCACTCCACTCACTGCCAACGTCAATTCATTTGATAAGCAAGTGAGATACAGCGCATACCTACTAACACACATCAGTACCGAGAAAGGAAGAATTAGGATTAACTGCATTCACTAGAACAATCTAAAAAAAGGAAAGGACTCCAAAAGGGACTACATTAAACTACAAATTATCTTTTATGTCCACAAAATAAAACTCAGACTAAACCCTAAAATATAATACCCCAGCAAAATATAGACTTGGCCATAACTGACCCGATGGCACTATTAACAGCTGTGCTCTATCTCTAGTATTTTTTCAGATTTTCAAAGGATTTCCAATGAAGATCTTTGAAATGGCCTTCTGAGGTGGTTATGATAATATCATGTGTCTCCCAATACAGGAAGAGCAACGGAGACACCCAAGGTGACTGTACAGGTTTCCTAACTCCTGGACTCTTATATTTTTTCCCTCCAGATCTTGTTGGTTTCGAGATTTTTAGATTAAAACTAATTTATCTAGTTCCCTACCCAAACCTTGAGTCAACTCTAAGCAGAATAAGCTTCATTTCTCTGATTTTCCTAGCGATGCTGGAAATGACTTTACCTCCCCTCCACCAAATCAATTCTTTCACTTTAATAGCCGGCAACAAATTCTTATGAAAACAGCTACTGAAAAAAGGTTTTCAAAAACTCTGTCCTCTTTGGACTTATGATGGGATGGTCTCCCATAACAGGTTCATTGCTTAAGGGCTGCGGTCAGCCTTCCCTCAGACGGCTATAGATAAGGAAAACACATTCCATTCCTGGTTTGCTTTGCTACTCTAAAATGT